ATCGCAGGTAGCGTGGTTCGCCAACATTCCGCCATCCATGGAACCACAGGTGGGTCAGCTAACGAAGGGCCTGTTTTCGATGGTGTTTCTTTGCCCTTGTCCAACGCACAGCCACAGCTGAGACCCGATTAACGGAGCCGAAGTCAGGACCAGCCAGGCACTGGCTGTCCGTCTGTCCGTCCGTCCGTCCGTCCGTCCGTCCGTCAACTTAGGGGACGACGAACCGAGGCAGCTGTTGCAGGCGACGACGACGACGGCGCGTCGGTCCTTGTTTCTGTCTCTGTGTCCGTCTTGATGTCGCTTCATGTCTCGATCGCCAATTCGTCCGGCTCTTGGTCTACCACCACCGCACGGACGACGAAACGTCGCCTGTCAGCCTCGAGTCTTATCGGTTAATCTGCGTGACTCCGAGTCACCACTTCCTACCGTTGTGAGGAGCAGCAGCAGCTGATGTGCCCATCAACACCGGCAAACATTAGTTAAATTCGCAACTAATGCGATAAGTGCCCGGCGTCGCCAGCCTCATCGTCGTCGTCGACAAGTCGAACTGCTCTCCAACTTCGTGCCTCAGTTCCGCTGTGATGAGCGGCACTCGTTTGACCCGTGGTGCGGACGGAACCGGCGACATGCGCTTATGGCGGAGGCAATAAATCAGGTGCCCCTACGTTTCGACTCTGCTTCCACGTTCGACACTTACCGAAGTGGCGAGCAAATTTTTAACGCTGCACACCGGCTCGTCACGAATTTTATTATAGCTTTATTCTATGCATTACTTGTAGCGTACCAACAACCTATACATCCAGACAGCAGCGTCAGAAGGTGAGGAGGCGTGATAAAATGTGCCTCCTGGTCCAACTATAAATGTAGCCAATAACTTTGCACGCTGTCAATGAAAAATAGAAAATCTTATTGAATCAGATTTGAGAACATCACTTAAACTATTTACGCATGCTTCTTTAAAGTGTTTTCTGCACGACATTGTGGTGTGGTGCCTCAAAAGCCTGCGTTGAAGTCGAAAGGTTTCGAGTTCGAATCCGGGAGAGGACAATCTTTGTATTAACGATGAATTCGCCTGACCAAGGAATCTACGACACGGTGCTTCAGACCGGAAGCTCAGTCTGACTCAGCGGTGGGCTCAGAGCTGAGTGAATCCCGTTCAAGTGGACCCTTGTCAGAGTCACTCGCCTGTTTTGATTCCTAGGTTGATAAATAAATATCACTCTGTGGGAAGGTAACATTAGACTGCACAATATGCTGGTCATATTGCAATTATTGACTGTGCTTTTTAAAAGTAAGACCCCCTGGTTGATGCCATGCACGTGGAGATCAGGGACCATGAACTTTACGAAAATACGAGTGCCAGAAATGGCCTGGTCGTGACAGTATAAAAAACAGATATTTCAGCATTGCAATCTTTTCTATCCTCTGTTCCTTACTTCACATGGATACATATAAAATATGACTGATGAATTGAAGCTCACCGGATCAACCTTCAGAAACATTATAGCACATAATTTTTGTGGACATTTATAGTGTTTCACCTATGTGATCCTGCGAGATTGATTCACTGAGATCTGAAAGGTTTTCTGAATTCCATATAACATGCATTATTCTTTTTTCTACCGCGTCCTAATTAACAGTGTTCCTCTGTCTGAAAGACTACCTCCACATTTTCGACCTTTGGTCAAATCTTCGTTTACTTCTCGCAGTTTCTCGTCGTTCGTCATACATCGCACGACCTTTGCTTTCGCGTTCCACTACTCTTTTTGGGCAGCGTCAGTACTTGCACTACTTTTCACTGTACTCGACAGATATTCTTTCACTTGGACAAATCAAATGAGATGAGGTTGAGCTTGCATTCGATAAGCTTTCCTGTACGTGGAGCTTCACTTAAAGCGCATCTTATGCACTAATCTATTTCTAATCCATCCTGTTGCCACTATCTCTCAATCTGAGTATTCGCGTTTCTGCGAAGTTCAGCTATTGCTTATGTCTCTTCAGGGTATTCACTCATTTCGCTCTGTAACGAAGTTCCGGTCTTACCATCGTTCTCTAAACATTCCCTCATTCGTTTGATTGGCGCATTGTTATCACCGTATTCGGCTAATCTCTTTCAATTTGAATCGCTCCTTATTGACCTATTCCTTTGCTCACTGTCACCCTCCCCGTTGTTGTGAAGGACGGAACCAAGGTGGTTTAATCATGATCAGACTACCACCTACCTTTGCTGAGTGGTTGACTTTCACCTTGTTCTTTGTGTTTTACTGAGTCAAAGGCCATTTTCCTCAGTGGCTGTTTGCCATGTCTCGGATTTCGCTTCTAATCCTTAGTTCCTTTCGCTTTTAAGTGTTATGTCACCTGCATAGAACATATAATATGTTGCAGATCTTTAATTATGCCCTCTGCTGCCATTGAGAACACAAATGTGCTAACCGCTGAACCATTATAAACCCAAACCAGAAAAGAAAAGTTTTTTGTCCCTCTGCATGTACTCTGGACTATCGTTGTCGCTCTGTTGCATATGTTCTTGGTAGATCTAATATATTTGTCTCACACCAGCTTCTTTCTCATTCTTATCCTGCATCAGAGTTTCAGCTCTGGAACTCAACTTTTTCAAGTTTTAGCAACACTATACGAATGCCGTGGTTGGTTCTTACAGTATGTTGGGAGGATCGATATAAACATGTCTTCGCTGAGTAAAGCCTTCGAACCGTACAGTTGTAATTAATTAATGGAATCACAGGAATGCCGTTTCCTTGTCAAGAATGACTGAATATTGCTGAGTTGCTATATTTAATTCTATGCAGTAATATGCCACTAGAGTGTTTTGTCCAGATATATATTGGTGATAAACGTTTTGATAAAAACAACCCAATATATATCGAAAAATGAGAAAATGTCGTTTTTCTCAGTGACGAAGACTCATTGTACAAACGCTATTTCATTGGATTTCTTATGTTTTGTCTACCTTGTTCCGAAAGTCCTTACTTTCTTCGTTTTCTTATAATCATATAGAAGTGTTGTGTCAAGTCTTCTGTCGTTTTCTACACTGAGTCATCAATTTCTTTCATGTACTCTACAGTTTCAGGCTTTGTACTCAGTGATTGAAATGGACCGCAGATTTCAACATATTTGCAACTGCAATCAATAGGTGCTTTCCTCAAAGCAGATCTTCAAAGTCAGAGAAACTCTGCACACTCCGCCGTATTTTATCCTGTCATGTGATCCTGTAATCTGCACTTTGCCTGCTCACCACCATGAGGGTGAATTATGGTGTACCAAATATGTGTAAGGTCAGTTCATAACTGGCATTTAGTTGACGAAATAATCAAATTCGTCTTGAAGTACATTTTAATTACTATTCGCCTTCTTCTATTCATTATGTAAGTTGCATGTGTTGCATTCGTTATGATAACTGCACAATAAATGACCTCATTAAACCAGTACCAAACAATAAATAAGTCTTAGATGCTAACTCTATGATTCTAATCTCAGGTCATTTGTACAATGCTGAGAATCTACAGTTTCAAAAAATGTTCACTGGGAACTAGACGAAAACCTTGAGAAAAAAATTTAATCTATACGATGAAAAAGAAGAGGGAGAAAACGCAAAAAAAAGGGTAGAAGAGAAACGTGAAGCAAAATGATAAGAGCAGTGAGGAAGAGACGCAGACGAAGAAGAGGAATAAGAGACAGAAGAAACAGTTGTAAGGACGAAATACATAAATTCATTCAAAATATTAATAGAAGCCCTTTACGGCCAAAGAAATGACCCAATGAATAACAAAAATAACGGTACCTGTAAGAGCCATGAAAAGCAATTCAATGTTTTGAAAGAGGACCAATAAAACGAACCATCTAGTCGTTATGAAAGCCAGATATGTGAAGCGGTGAAAATAATCTCATTAGTTTTATAAGCTCATTATAACTGTTGTATGCTTCGAAGATGCAAACCCGCGATAATAATTTAAATCTGTCAAGGTCAAAACGAGAATTAATTTTCAATTTTCTAATATAACAATTTGATGATATGGCTGTGATACATTATCTGTGACAAAACATGATTTCGCTCTGTCTCACTGATACATGTACCATTGCATCACCTCCTGTTTCTCAAGAGAGAGGGAAAATCTGGAACAATTAGATTGTGATCTTCACTGCATTGAACGAAATCGGCTAGCAAGGCCTCAATTGTTACAGAATAACTTTGGTTTCTCAGTCGGTAGGGCGTCGGACTCAGGAATGAGAGGTACGGGATTCGAGCTCCGGTCAGTCCACTCATCTTTATTACTTCCACACCGATAAATGAGCACCATTTTGAGGAAAGAAAACAATGGGCTACTCACCATGCTTACCACATAGTTACTGTCCTCTGTGTCTTTAAAATAAGGCACAACTGACTAATGGACTAGAAATAGATATCAGCACCTCACCTCACCATCAACTTAAAAAAGAGATACACTGTAAAGTGTATGGAAGACTGGCATTCCAATCAATACAAACACCTCTTCCTTTCCTTTTTTATGTAGCACATTTGAAACAGGTGTGGGGCAACACGATTGCAGGATCGATCAACCATCGATGGCAAAGATATGCAGCGCAGCAGATGATATTGCATGAATCTGACAAAATCATATGGCTAACGCGTCGACATGTCATCTCCCCCTCAGAGCATTCAGCAAGTGCCTTCATGGTAAAAACGCGGAACCGCTATGTTAGCTGTCTCAAAGCAACAGGATTGAGGGAAATGGTTTGTGTTGCTCATTTGAGTCCACATTCTCACAGATGGCAGACATTTGGTGTGTTATTGAGCAATTCCAGAGACTCCTATGCGTTGCAGGTTTCGAGAAGACCATCGTAATGCTGATACTAAGAAACATCCCGATGATGAAGCGGGTCAGAAACTCAATCATTCGCTAAAGATTGAAATCTGATGAGCGAAAATGGCACTGTTTGCAGAAGTACTGTTCCGTTGACCAGCGGCTAAATTTGGAGTAAGCGCACAATAAACAAACTATCAAAAAAAAACAAAACGAAAGAAAACATCCGTGAGTGATGGATGCTGATTTCCTTAAACCAACGTATAAAACGCTATTTTGGAAATTTTTCTTTCATGGGGCTTCTCATGAGGCATTGACTTTCACCTCTATCTCACTATCCAAAAGTGTTTCACTGATGAGAGTGACATTTGCCGCTATATAGCAAGTACAGGATTTAGTTTACAACCTTACTGTGAGAAAGTAGGACACAATTCACTCTTTACTGTGCACAAATCAAGAATGGCTGCAGACACAAGATATGCACGT